TCAATCATGTTCGAATAAATCAAAGAACCCTGAGTAGAGTGAACCACCGACTGCGACTGAGGAAGCGTTCTCTCAACTATCATACAATTGATTCTTAATGTAGGCAGACATTGGCAAAATATTAATCGGTAGTTAGGAAAGGAGGGGCTTAGGAAGAGTTCCTAAAAAAATTGGAATCCTAGCTAAAGAAAGCAAAAGCAAATGAGGTGGCTAGCTTCTCGAACAGTGGGCCTGTGTACTACGTTGCGAAAAAACGTGCAACCTATCCGTAAGATTCTGATAAGAATAATTGTGAAGGTGCTCAGGAAATATGTGCCGACCTAATAATGTACTCTGGTGCCAATTAAGAAAAAAATCATTATACAACCAACACGGTTCGTTTCGCTCCTTCCTCAGACGAACCTTATTATTTCGTCAATCCCCGGAGCTCATCAGTGAGTTGGGATTGGCGAAATAAAGACACAGGGGAAAGACGAATAAACCTTGATGTGACGTACAAATTTATCATGCAGAGGAGCATGCAATGAAAATAATGTATATTGAATTAAGTGAAGAATTAGACCAGTAAAGAACCAAGGAGTGCTAATAGTGGGAGAGTCGTGCACTTTTATTGGGGACGGAGCTTTTTACGAAGCATTGTACCACTCTAATGATCCCAAAAAATCCGCTCTTATGCGGAAACCACAAAGTTGGCGTTTTCTGAAAATAATGGAACTCACCAAATCAACACTTTTTTCCGAGCCGATGAAGGTAAAACTTCCATCCACGTTTTCGACGTACACAAATTTCGCTCTGACAGTGTGGACAAAAGCGGTAATCCCTATCAAATACTGAAGCACTATTAGTTTCCACACGTTTTGTCGCATCCACAGCTCAAACACAGTAATTTCATTACATGAACTTGGTTAATAATTTGCCATGCAATTTAACAATTCTGTTCTCTTTTATGAGTTTTAGCGAACCTTATCGTACTTTTGCGCGAGGCAAAGGGAAGAATATCGGTTGACTGTGATGAGCATGTTACCGATCATATGTGCAGAAAAAGCAGCACCACTGACTATAGTGAAAAATATGGCGAGAAATCGGTAATCTGGACCTAAACCATCAACATCGCGGTTCAGTCTGTGGAACCAGCTTGACAAAACAGACGTTACGTCAGCGAATCCTGAAAACTGATAATGCCTTGTAAGAATTTCGACTTTATAGAAGGCAGAACAAATGACATCATAAGTATATGGGCCTGAAGAACTTTAGGTTACTTTTGTTTAGAGTCACTAAAGTGAATCAAGGCTCTGCTCTCTCGCAGCTCCTTTTCTGCCCTTATGTTGCCATCGTACATACAAAATGTCATATCTCTCGAATTAGAAATTATCAAACCTTCAGACAAAATGCTATTCAGATTCAATACTGAACAGAATAAGCACCTGGAGGCCGATTCAAACGAATGCCATTTATCGCGTTAGTATAAGGGAACACTTGTGACCATGCCATTGATGCTAAAGGTAGCTAGCGCCCTATGCAAGTGGCATGATGGCTGAGATCGGGAGGGTATGAGAGCCCGGCAAAGTGGCAAGGATCAATCAGCAGACGAGAGGGACACACGTTAAAATACTGCTCGACAAATCGATGGTACATTGTGCGGAAAGTTGGTGCATTTTTTTCTAGGTGCAGTGCATTCGCTGTTTGATTCGCCATCATATCGCTCAATCTTCTTGTGCAACGCTCGTACCTGCGATTCGCTAGCGGACCCACGATTCAAAGAGCCTGTCACGGCCTAATGAGAAGGTCACAGAGAGTGAAAACAGAGTTGACGCTACGAATTGGATTGTACAACTCTGGAGGGCAAAAAAGGCTTGTGACGTTATTAACGCATGAAAGAATCCTAGAATCAGGAAGAAAACACCCAGTCAAGTGCAAGGTGTGTTGACAAAGTAGAGAACTTAGACAAAGTAGAGAACCTGTAGCGAATTTTGAGCGCTTTGTTTCCGCAGAGTTAGCAATTTGTGTAAATGGGATTATATGTTTACCAGTTTGTTCCGCACGCTATCTCACGCATGTCAAAGAAGGCACCAGTAGAACTGAGCATTGCCGGGCTCTTGTATTAAGCAGCATGCATGCCTTTAATGGATCTTTTGTTATTAATTGAATTACCGTAACGCTGGTAGTGAAGCAGCCGTTTACCGTAGCTCGTTTTCCCAGAATCAATTATCTCTAAGAACCTAAAATAGTCAAGCGACCCAATAAACTTCGGACAATCAGGACCATTGTTGGGTTGCTTACTACCCCTTAGCATACAACTACCATGCATCCGATGCTGGGATTGTTTAGCGGTTGAGTAGCTCCTATGAAGGTTACATCGAAGTAGGGAAAGCTATACAGCTAGCTATACGCCACTATGACGAATATGACATTCGTTGTAGTCGTTAGCACTATTTGGCGCCTATTTCCTGCTCGTCTGCGCCCTCCAATTAGATCGCAATCAGGACTAAGCCTTTGAGAGTGGAGGGCTCCAAAGTGAGTAGGCCACTCCCCTGTGATCTCACACACTTCAACTTTTGCCACACGGTGCTTGGTTTACCCACTACGGAGTAATCACTCCCTCTCCCTAGGCTTAGTCGTAGGCGCTATAAGTGAGAGATTACATGAGAGCAGGAAAGAGCAACGGCAAAAAAGCGCGACAAAAACGAATGTCATATTCGACTATTCAACTATAGCAACCCAATGCTGTCAACTTGTATACAGCGGTTGTTTGAGGTGCTCATTACGAAGACATCGTTCATTTCGCCACCGGCGCCACTTAACGCCTATTTTCTGTCCGGCAGCTCTCACTAATTAGATCGCGATCAGGACTAAGCCTTTGGGGAAAGAGGACTCCGAAGTAAGTGAGTCACCCATCCTGTGATCTTATACGCTTCAACCTTTGCCACACGATGCCTGTTACCCATGCTGGAGTTCCCCCTTCTCCTAAGCTTAGCCTTGAGTAACATGGCGCCAAATGGCGCCCATTTGACGCCAGCGTCAAAAATGGATCTCATGTTAGTGATTAGGACCCTCTATACCCCCAAAGGAAAAGTTTTAGCGAGAGCATCAAAAAAGAAATATATAGAAAGAAAAAAAATGGATTTCCCCTGGGACAATGTCAGCCACCGGTGGCTGACATTGCGCAATCGCCTCTGCCGGCGCTGGTCCGAACGGGCAGTCTTCGAAAATCCCGCCCGGTCGCGAGTGGGTTAAAACACACATTTGCAAATACTGCAGTTCTTATTTACAGGGGTATGTACAAAATCGTTTCTGAACCATTACTCCGTCAAAAGGACATTCGTGTATTATGCCATCATGCATGGTGTACCGAAATTATGGGCTTAGGAATTTGAGAATTCATTGAGCAAAGGCATTTGATCTTTCTCCATTATTTTATTGCCACAGCAGAGCAGGATCTGCAATAGCCAGAACGATTGCATTCCGCCAAATGTCCAGGAGTGCTACTCCACGCTAAAAGATTGTTTGCAGATCACCGAACTCGGCCTCAAAGTTGGTTTGAAGGAACACCACGTCCAGTGGTGAGAGGCTGTTGGTTTTTCGTCGGCTTTCGGTAGGTATCTATCAGCTAGGTATCACCGATTAAGAAACCCGAGGTGCTTATAGCAGGATGGTACACGGCGCGTAGAGCCAAGTTCATCCAAGAGTTGTACCTTTTTTAGTTGTTTGATAGCTCCAAAGAATGGTGATCATTTTCACCAGGTCTGCACACAACTGATTTTCAGTGCAGCTAAGGTCTGCC